GTTTGCCTGAAGGAGCAGAGGGGCTGATAACACATCGGTGTGCAGATACGCTTCACCTCTGCAATCAGAGCACGTTTCTGGCTCCTCCTCGTGTTGCTCCCACTTCTCAGGATAAACAACAGAGTGTTCTGGGCCCTGTTCGGTGACTCTGATGAAATGTGACATGCAAAACCACGACGCCCCAAAAGATGCAGTTGGGGTGGTGGTGGCTTACTCAATGATGCGCAAACCTCCTGATGAATGCACCTTGTATTTTCACAATAGCATGATTGAAACGAGCACCGCAGGGTAATAGCGTGGTGAATCATTTATGGCGGACGGTTCCACAGCACGTGTTCCCGATGAATGGCATGAGCGACGCAGACGTGACGACGCGAGCTGTGGTGGCGNGCAGGATGAACAACAGAGTCTTCTGGGCCCTGTTCGGTGACTCTGATGAAATGTGACATGCAACCACGACGCCCCAAAAGGTGCAGTTGGGGTGGTGGTGGCTTACTCAATGATGCGCAAACCTCCTGATGAATGCATCTTGTATTTTCGCATCACCGTGATTGAAGCGAGCACCGCAGGGTAGTAGCGTGGTGAATCATTTATGGCAGACGGTTCCACAGCACATGTTCCCCATGAATGACATGAGCGACGCCGACGTAACGACGCGAGCTATGGTGGCGATGTGTGTAGGGGATTGTGAGGAGGTGCGGGGACTCTGGGAGGTTGGGTGTGCGTGGATGCCTTTGCATTGCATGCGTGAAGGTGTGAGAGTGGGAGATATGCAGAGAGGAGTGCGCCGAGAGTGTCTTCTAGCACACAGTGACTGAATGAAAAAAACACAATTGGCTGGCTCAGCGTAAGATTGAAGTGAAACCCCAACGAAGGGACATATATATGCCCAAGCGAAGAATAAAAATATAGATGCGTCCCTTGTAGAAGCATGCTTGTTGTTGATCCTCTGCGCTCTGTATTCTATTAGCTGACTTTTTGCTCCTACCCGTTCTGAATTAAGGGAAGTATCTAACATCACCTGCAGCACCAATATCGAATCAGACAATCGATGAACATGAGGCACATGACAGAGAAAACGCAATTGGCACATCTACAGTGTTGCAAGATACCAAAGAGCATTGGCAGTTGCAGTCTCAGCGATATGGGCCTCTCTGAACCTGTTTCAATCCTGCGTCGAGGCAAAAGGAAGACGAGACTGCTGGCATCTATGGGACTGCAGTTGAGAGACATCCAGGTGTTGTTTCTGGTACTGATGGTTGTGGCTGCACCGTTTCTTCGCTGTGCTGCTGCGGCTGGTGGCATGGTCCCCCGAACGAAAATGTCCACGCTTGCAGCCGACGACGATTCCTTGGTGACACTCACGAACTGCTTTCCCAGCGTAATACTCAGTCCTTCCGGCATCCCATACACCTGCGAAGTTGACGATGCCCAAACACTGATTGACTTGAACCTCTACGCCTCGTACTACCTTTCAGGAGTCCTCAGCTCCTTCTGGCCGGCGACTCTTGATGCGGAAACCAAAACCATTACATTCGTGCCTAATGGTGGTGGTCCATCCTCAGGGCATTGGGAATTGGTCATTACATCGTTTTCTGAAGTTGAAGCAACAAATGTTCCTCTGACGACCAATAAGAGCATGAACTTCATGGACATCCGTGCGACCCGTTCGAATTTCGATGCACTCTATCCGTATTACGGTATGGGGGTGTCGTGGGCACCCAATCTCCCAACCGGCACCACGGCTTCCGACTCCATGCTGGTCCGCTCTTTCGATGCATGCCGGTACACCACTACAACCTGCACTGACACTGTTGGGTGCTACAGAATGCTGCCACCCGCTCATCTTCCCCCTCCAGGCGAATACTGGCTCTGCCTGACGTCGAATGACTGGCATTCCCAATACCTTCCGTGGGGTGAAAAATCTCTTGAGGTGAAGGTGCTGTTGGCCTCGCCGCTGTACTTGACAGCTGGCAAAGACAGAAATGTCGTGCTGCAGGATGCGGAATCTGTGGTAAATGTGTCGGGGCGTGTGTTCCTGGTGCTGTGTCCTGGCAACGGCTGCCCCCGTCTGACTACTGGCAGTGGGGAAGATGTGGTGCACCGTGATGTGTGTGCTAACACCACCGTTTCGTCGCGTGTGTATCTGTCCGACCTCAGTGTGCTGTCTGCAGAAGCTGGCGTGTACGCTGTGTGTGTCGATGATGGTGGTGATGGAGAGTACACTGCTCCCGCTGCGCTGCCGGTGAAAGTGCTGGAGAAACCCTTTGCCTTCAAGATAACTGCTGACACGGACCAGAACACTGCTACGATTGGTGTTAGTGGCGGTGACCTCGAGTGGCGCAGAGAGCCGTACACGGTGTGCGCTGTGCCGCTGAGTGACACGTGTGATTCCGTCTCGGCGGGGCCTCGTGTGTGCGAGAAGAGTTTGTTGCCGTGGTCACCGTCCGTGTATCTGGATCTCGCTAACAGCGGATTGCTTGTTAAGGATGTGAGGTTCTGCTTCATCGCAGCCAACATGACGATCGGAGGACGCACCTACACGCAGATGTTCGATTTGTCGGAAGGGAAGGGAGAGAAAAAATTGTCTGCTGGAGTTATCGCCGGGATTGTCATTGCTGGCATCGTTTTATTAATTGTTCTGGTTGCCGTGTTCTACTTCTGCTACTGGCGACAAAGGAAGAACAGAAGGGAGTCGCTGGACTCTGGCACAAAACCCTCGTCGACGGTGCCACATTCTGTAGAGAGCCAATCAAATCCCCTGACAACTGTTTCGACCGACACTTCTCCACCCACGACTGATCCTCCACAAGAAGATGACGCTGCCCAGGTGCCTGTTGTTGAACAATCAGCCAACACAGTGGAGCGGCACATCGACCCCACAAATATGCAAGAGATGATGGACGGGAATTCAGTTTCCTCGGCAGACACACACAAACAAGATGCGACAAACACAAGAAAAAATACTACAGCTGCTATTAAAAACGTACTTTACCAAAATACCGAGAAGACGCCGACAGTTCGTACTAATTATAGTGATGAATGTTATGATTTTCCGGAGAGAGCTTCGAGGGCTTATGTCGAACATCTTTTGGACAGGATGGAGAATGGTGAAAAAGATAACGGCTTTTCCCCCCCAAACTATTTTTCATTCTGAGCGCAAAGCGAACAACGAAAAATCCAATCGATCATGGGCTGAAACATTTCAGGCGGCTGAGCTACCAGAAAGAAACTCGCGCCATCTTTTTTCTCCCAGTGTGGAATGTGTGCTTTCAGAAGGTGTATCCTGCCTCCCACTGACGGATGAAAACATGTCTTTTCTTCGTCAGGAGGGGGCCAGTTAGCACCTGCTGTATTGCACTGGCCAAAGGAATCACAGGAGCTGGAGTAAAACGATTCTGAGAGACACAAGGTTCTTTACAAGAAGCAGTTAGCTCATCAGAAGAAGGTGCTTGAGTGCGTACGAGAGTATTGCGATGACACAGATAGAGAAGACATATGAAGCTTTACGATCCACAGAAAAAAGGTTACAAACGGCTCAATGAGCCACCCTCTATGAATTCACCAGATAACCATGATCCATCAAGCGACAAGGATAATTGAGGTGTGTAGTGCATTATGAGTGTGATTCCCAATGTGTCATTGCTTTGCCCAAATAAACAATGAGAGTAGACGGCATATGGCTCAGGATTTGGTGACTTCCTTCTTCCTCTCGTATTGTTTCTTTTACCACTCTGAAGAATACTCCTTCCCTCTCCCCTTTGCCCAGTATCCCTCCATCGCAATAATACCTGGACCAGGAACTGTTGCATCTGGTGTTGCGTTGGGCGGTGCGAGTTATCGGAGTAGATGTGCATGAATGAGGGAGTGTTCAAGAGGTAAGCAATTCAGATGAAGTGAACTTATCGAAGGATTATATGATAGTTTTACAAGAGAAGGAAATACAGGATAAAGTGTTTCTCTGTGTGTGTGTGTTTTAATGCATGTGTGTATATGTGTGTTTGTATGCGTTGTGACCCGTGTGATGTCGCGCGACAGTGGCAGCTGTGACGATGAGACATTTGTATTCAAAGCCTGACACAACGATTGCAGGTGCAGGAATGAAGAAGGCGGAGCT